TTGTGCTGCGTGTGGCGAGCCACCAGTGGCGACAAATGGCGTGAAAATGCATGCCAATAGCTCCCGCTCCGCCAAAGTAGTTGAGGCAACAACACCAACACCAACACCAACGTGTATAGCGTGTGTTATGTTGTAGCAACAACTACTGGATACAGAAATGGTTGCTTTCCCGGCCATCATTAGCAGCACTCAGACACGAAATGGCTCATTAAACAAATTTCAAATGGCAAATTTTGTATCAAAATGTGGGAGACGCGTCTGATTTTGAGTTTAATTGAAATGAAAAGTTGCATTTAATGCTTAGTGAGAATGAAATTCAGCTTTTCAGATGAAAATTTCAAAAGTTGAAATAAAAACTAAAGAATATAAACAAAAATAAGGCAAAATAACTGTCTCACTTCTTGAACGGGTCTGAAAGTTCTAATCAAAGATTCACCTAATCTGGTCGCAATCTCATCATCTCAATGTAACTCAAATGTCATTCCCAGAATACTGAGACCCCACTCAACCATTTTTAAATTTATCTACAATTCTTTTCGGAGGTACCGTTCTGTCAAGTAGTTTTGTTCGAAGAAATAGAAAATTATTTTTTGCTTTTGCAACCAATTGAGCTTTCAGACAGTAGGAGTCTTCCCACAATTTAGTTTTCGGTAATACCAGAATCCGACAAAGAACCCTCCGCAAGTACTCTAACCTGAGTAAAAAAAGAGGAACCCTACAGTTCGCATCATTTACATATATTTGAATAAGTTTTCCAAAAGTCAAATATAAAAACTTACTTCAAAGTTATTTTTATACCCTTGCGATTTCATCATAGGAGAACCACGGAACACTTTCGATTGCCTCATCAAAACTTCATGTACTAATTTTCCTTTATCTTTATTTTCTGCCAACAAAAATACTATTCATTGGACACGTCCCATTGGAGCGGGTTATCCAAGAGAATAATCCACTACCCCAAGCGTAAAACGTTCTTCCTCTAATATTGAATATTCATTTGACTGGGATTAGACCCATAATCATTACCATGATATAAGACACTGTAACCACTGTTGTTGTTGTTGTTATAGTGGCTTGGCAGCCCCCAACTTGAAGCAGGCTAGATCAATACGAGTATAAGCCATGGAGGTCATCAAAGAGAGGTCGAGGAGATGAGCTGCTTCGACGGATGTACGAAGAATCATTGTTGTGCCAGTATTACGCGGAGCTCTAGTAGCAGCTCGAGCTCCTCGTCTGCAATAGGTGATGTCTTAACACCGAGAATGTCATTCATTAGAAGAGAGTTAATGCCTGTCGGTAAGCCATCCTGTCCAGCGGTTGTAAGTTCTACTAAGTGTCTTTTGGGATGTACCCTAAAGCTTCTTAACTTGCTTCGCAGTGCGAGTGATTCTCTGCCGACATTAAAAGGTTTCCACGGTTCTGAGGAGAGATGTCCTCAGCTGGTTCTACATACCGTAGTTGACTCGGATTTTATCCGGCAAAGTACTGTCATTCTTTCTGCGAGCTAACTCCGTTTAGCTTAGCAGGTAACACTCTTAACATCTCGGCTACTGCGGCCGAACTCTCTGGCACCAAGCGATACCTCAGGCAGATTAGAAATAAAGCGCCATCAAGAAACCAGTCAACCCATTTCCTTCTATGTAATTTCGCTTAAAACAACAGCAAACAACAGTAAACAGTTTTCAGCGTTTGACTCCCACACCGAATTCAGGAAGTTACATTAAACTGTGAATAATAGCCAGCATCTATCTGTCACGTCTTGACATTCAAACAATATTATCTGCAGACATTTGGGTGTATAGGAAATACGAGGTGGGAAATAGCCCAGATAATTTACTACCAGTGACAACGTTGACTGTTAGAAAAGTCAGAGAATCTCCAGCCTTAAAAGTTCTGGATGCAGTACTCTCTGTTGCATAGCGAGGATCGACTGGAGAGCAATTCGAATTCGCTTTATTTCTCTAGCTAAGGCCAAATAAGAAAAATAAGAAATAACTGGTGTGATATTATTGTCCTAAGTGGAGTTCATGCCAACTGGAAGGAGCGAAACTTGGAGCATCTCTATCAGCAGAAGCTTCTTTTAACAGTGTAGCCAATTGCACATCCTTTCACGGTGTGTGCCCTCACAGCTCGCTAGTCTTATATGCTTTATGAATAAACAATGCGACGGTATTTACATCATTGTAGAGACTACAAAGTATCAGGAGTTCCTTTTTGGTTTCTTTTATTGATTGTCAAAATTATTCATGCAACCCTGCCACGAATGACGACTGAATTGAAAAACGAAATGATCCGGGGATCACACACAAACCGGAAACGGGTGCTAAGTTGTCCTATCTTGGAGGCTGCACAGTCCACATTTATTTACAAACGCTTTTGTCTTCAATGTCTACCAGACGGCAATAGTGAATGAAGATCTTCTTTCCGTTAGAAATATCATTTAGATATGGGTATAGCCAGCCTAACTTAATGTATCCAATCTACACTAGAAGGCTTTCATACTCGAGTTTGCGGAAGTTTGGAGAGAATTAATTTCGATCCAGTTATCTCTCTATCTCCCACTCTCTCTCCCCTTCTTTAACTAAAGCTCACTTTACGTGATCATCTTCGAGTCCCAATTGAGTAGATTTTGCGAGTTAAGTTTTCTGTACAAAACTGCGGGATATCCAATCCGCTATCGATGGGCTGAAGTGCTTTTGTGAGGAGATTTTATATTAAAAATACACTCGGAGGTTTTAACATTCCCTGACGCGGCATGATCTTCAGTAATAACTCTCCTGCGAGAATAAAAACTATCATTTCTAGCACATAACACGCACGGTGGTCCTTAAAGAGCTTTTGTTAAAGATTCATAACATTAAACAAAAGAAAAATTACATCACAATCTCTTTAAAAATTGTTTTAAATATGTAAATTGCCTTATTTCAAGTATCAGAATTCAATTAAATGCTTTAAGCTTTAAGTCCTCCAACCAAATTCAAACGGAATGAAAAAAGTGCATAATAAAAAGCTTACACCTGTAATGATCACCATACTGCGAAGCCATATTGAATATGAATTATCTGCACCGTTACATTAATACCACAACGCAAGCAGACAATGCAAGAGTGAATGCATTGCCCACAGCGACACTGTCAATATTACGAAAAAAAAAGTGTAAAAAATGTCAACGCTCCAAAGTGATAGCCTTACGCAATATCTACACACACACACATACAAACACTTGCTACACATACAAATACTCTTGAATCTCTATAGTTTATGAAGGTGTGTGCACACCGTAAAGCTCATCGGTCAGTTGGTGGCGTCGATCGAAATGGTATTTGGTCTGCTGGCAATTGGTTGCCACACAAAACAAGAGTGAAAAACGCTAAGAGTCAGTGTCGTCCTTTACGCTCAGTGGGAGAAGTCCAAGTCCATATTCGTGTACACATGTCCGTCCGCCGGCTGGCCATTTGGCCATTTGGTTTGCGCTTATTCACTGCTAATCCCTGGTGTATCGGACATTGTTATCCCCTTTTAAGCACATTGACGCCCGAAAGGATTTTCCATGCGCCCTTCATGCTGTCCGCTCACTTGGTCAATGGCGCCGCACCAGCAAATGCGAAACCAGCCAACACATCTGCAGATAGATGTAGAGCTTCGGCTGTGAAAGTGAATGATGTGCCTAATTTATCGTCCAGGCAATACTTTACGTATTTGTGTATGTATGAGTAAGTATTTATGTCTCGTAGGAGCCTTGTAGGGTAAAGCCAAACTAGTGTGCAAAATATCTAGTTAAATACCAGTAAATCGAAGATGAAAACGTACCCGTTGGTTATTTGTAGAGGTCACAAGTAACGAACCAAGACTGAGTTCCATACTCAGTTAAGCTCTGTTGAAGTGCGAAAAACTACGTTCATCGTTTCATTGTCACGATAGCCGAGTTGTTAAAGTTCATATCTGTAGCCCGTTAGGTTCACGGTTCGAGTCTCGCTGTAGACAAACTAACTTTTCTTTTTTAATAAATTTTTCGTTCTTTTTTTTTGATGAAGTGAAATTCAATGTGTTTAATTGAACTAGTATGAAACTGGTAATAGCTGTTGTTAAAAATACCAGTCGCTTTCATAAGTAGTCTGAAGCTGCACTAGTTAGTGCAAAACTGCATACCAGTATGATTCTGGTTAACAACTAGTATTTTTCCCTGCATGGCAAGCTTGGAGTTTGCAGTCAATATGCGTACACATGCATGCGCATATATACCATTGTTGGTGTAGCTATATGTATAACGAATACACACTTTCATGCACTGCATTGGTGGTGGTCCATTAAAGTGACTTGAATTATTGGTGCGGATTTTAATTGAGGTTTTTCTCATTTGCATTTATGTATTTGGGTTTTTGTTCCACTTCACCACAACCAATGAATTCTGCCCTTAAACTGCAAATGAAACTAATTTATCCAGCAAACTTTATAGGCAACTACAAAAAGTGTTATCCTTTTTTTTTTTTTTTTTTTTTTTTTTTGTTTTTGCCTCACTTTGTGGCATTGGCATATTTCATTTTTCGTTATATTTTTTTCGTTTTCTCATTTTACGCTTTTCTGTCAGGCAAATCGAGAAATGGAAAATTGAATGCATAATTACAACCGCAAAGTTATTATCATTTTCGCACCATCGCCGCATCTGATGAATTATTTCCTCAACTTCTGCTCCCTGTTGCACTTTACACGCGCTCTGTCGCACATCGGTACATACGTATGCAGGTATGTATATACATACTTACATAGCCGAGTTGTTACATTCATTATTACTACTTTCTCACAGTTGGTTTTCGTAGATATGTTTCTCGAATGCATTTCCCTCCGTCTTGCCAAAGTTACTGCTGCACTGCGCCTCCACTTCGTGTTCCTTGTTGACTTCCTTATCGCCTGTCGTCGCCTCTTGCACTATTTCCGTTGTCGCCAGTGTTTCGATCTCTGCTTTTGCGTCATTTTCTACCTTTTCTTGCATTTTCACCTCTCTTGCTTCGGTTATTGCCATGTCCTAAGGATGCTTCGTATAATTGTTGAGTGGCATTTCATTGACCATGGTGTGCGCCACCTCCTTATTTCTGTCATGTATGCCTTTGTCATGTGTTTCAGCTTTTTTCTTTTGGGTCTTCAACTATGTATATGAAATGATAAATGATAAATGATAAATGAATATAAATAATATTATTTTATAGTTACTCTTCTTATTGTCTCCTCGAAATTCTGATGGGGCTCAACGCGTTTCATCGTGCTGCAGGCTTTCAGTTTTTCTGAGGACTGCAAGTAATGTTGAAATTGAAAAGAAGAAGTGATGAAATAAATTGGCGATAATTAATCTTTCAATTTGCATTATTTAAATGAATATGACAGTAAGAATACATTAATTGCTACATAATTATATATACATAAATACATATTTACTAAAAGATCCAAATAAATGTTGCTGTGTTTTTTGTATTTTCAATATAATTGTTATAGTAAAGTCAAAAACAGTTAAAAGGTCATCAAGAGTCATTATTAAACCTCAAATAAATCCGTACTTAGTCCATTGCGCGTGGGAAAAATTAATCGAAAAATTGCTCCAATTCACTTACAGACAAGCAAAATACATATTTATATCATGAAAATCTCTCCTATACGCCTAGAGTAAAAGTAACCGAATAACAGTTTTTCGAATAGGTCGGTTTCTAGTTCAATTTCAGTCGAATAGATCAGCCCTTGTACCATTTCACGGAAGACATATTAGTATTTAGATAATATTTATGTGTAATTTCTAGCAAATTGCGTCACAATGCAACATATTTGAATTGGTCAGTCCCTGGTGCACTTTCCGGAAAATAATTATTCAAAATCACTCCCAAATCCACTTGAATGCATACACAAAATTCCATCGAAATTTCAGTTCATGCCAAATACATGCACAAAAGATTTTTATATTTTCAGATATATAAACGTAATCCAGCAGTTAGGAACCTCAAAACCGACACATAGAGGATCTCATCTTTTTTTTAAGAAATAAAACTACGGAACTTTCCAACAGATCAGAAATAAAAGAAGTTTCGATTTTAAGTTGAATTTTCTAATTGCGGTCGCCCCTTGACAGGGCATGTCCACCCCTTCGAGTGTATTTCGGATATGAAATGAAGTTTCTCATAAATACCATCAGCCGTTCGGTGGCGGCTTAGTATAAACTGTAGATCCCTCAATTTGCTGGAAAAAACATTAAGACGCAATACCACAAATTGAAGGATAAGCTCGGCGAAAAATCGCTTCAGCGGTTACTTAGCGCCAATTATATATAAAGGGTGATTTTTTAGCTATTATCTTTTTGGTAACACTGTTTTAAACAGCTGACGCACGTTTCGTGTTTTTTATCATTGTCAACCATCTTCCGTTTGGGCTATAAATTAACCATGAATCGTCTTACAAACGAACAACGCTTGCGAGTTATTGAGTTTGATTATCAAAATGCGTGCTCTGTTTAGAAAGTTCATTGCGAGAGCTGCCAATGCGTTCTGAGAAAGTTACAGTTTGGTGCGGTTTATGGGCTGGTGGCATCCTTGGACCGTACTTCTTCAAAGATGATGGGAATCATCGTAACGTAACTGTGAATGGTGAGCGCTACCGTAAGATGATATCACACTTTTTTTTGTCAAAAATGGAAAATCTTGGCTTGCATTAAATGTGGTTTCAACAAGATAGTGCCACATGCCACACAGCACGCGTAACAATGAACTTATTGAGAGGCGAGTTCGGTGAATATTTTATTTCACGTTCGGAATCGGTCAATTGATTGACTTGATCGTGCGATTTCACGCGTTTGGGCTATTTTTTGTGGGGCTATGTTAAATCTAAAGTCTATGTAGACAAGCCCGCTTCAACTGACGCATCTGAGGACAACATTGAAGCATTTATTCGTGAGATACCGGCCGACATGTTGGAAAGAATATGCCAATATTGAGGCGCAGTCACGGTCAGCATTTGCATGATATAATCTTCACACATTAAATTATATGGACCTTACTATCGACTCAATTAAAGATATCATGCTTTTTTTGGAATTTTATTTGTTTTTTTGAAAAACTTTGCTACAGCTCTTAAAATCAACTCTTTATAAAAGAAATTTACTTTAAAATCAAATGATGTGCGCAGGAGCTCCTTGTATTCTTCTATTCAATCTTGGTGGTCTAAGCTGCTACCGAATGACTGATGGATTTATCACGTGAACATTTTTTGATTATGAAGGTCTTATGTGGAGGTTTCATTTCATGTCAGAAGCATAATCGGAAGTCTCGAAATTTTTTGCCGATCGACGAGCGCAAGTAGAAAATATGATTTTCTACACCCTGATCCTCCGAATGGTAGTACGATATTCTAGCCACGCTGCTGTTGCGCCTAAGGGTTTTCCAATAAGAGATTACATTTTGCAGAGCCGGAAATTCCGTTAGATGTTAGATGTCTGAAGCTGTTTTTGACATGTGGCAAGTAAACACTACGCCACTAATAAAAATGCAGCGATACAATTTCAACAAGGCAGTAAAGTTATTAAAATTCACTACGAAAACCTGGCCGAGACGGTTCGTTAAGCTAAAATATTTTTCGGTCGTACTGAAGCATCTTGTCCGACCGCAATATTGAAACTGGTAGAAAAATGTAGCTGTTGGAACACCGATGGGTCCTTGAATGCATGAAAACGAAAAGGAAATTCATGGAAAAGTCATCATGATTGATTCCATCTCGATAGCCAATGCCAATAAGCAAAATTGTCTCATCTGAGGCTCGAAAAAACCAAGATTTCTTGATGAAAAGCCTCTCCAACCCCAATGTGTAACTGCTTGGCATGGTTTATTGTCATGGGGACCTTACTTTTTCGAAAATGAAGCTGGTGCAGCAGTTGTGGTGAATGAATTGCGATCTTGGGAGATGATTAATGATGCAGGAATTGAATGGCATTGAGCTGGATAATGTTTCAACAAGATGGCACACACAGGCAAAGAAACCATCGATCGTTTATGCAACAATGTGGGTTAACACCTTACGACTTCTTCTTCCTTTGCGTCAACGTGTAGGATAATGTCTACACCAAAGGGCCAACGTCGATTCGAGACCTCAAAGATGGCACTCATTAAAAGCATACAGCAGCCATCTATTTTCGTAGAATTTGGAACATAACCTTGTCGGCCAGCTTCTCAAGCTCTTCATTTTGTCTGCAAATGCATCTTGCTTCTCTCTTCAGCTCTCGATATCTAGCCCATCCCAAAAGAGCACTTTGTGATTTGATGATAGAAATTTTCATAAAAAGGATACGGTCCTGTAAGCTGATATTGTTTTCTATTATTAATGGCATACTTTTAAAATAAACATATGTTTATTAATCTCAAAAAAAGTCACATTTTTGTGGATATCGAAATACCATCTCTTATTCGAAAGCTCTGTTTAAGGTTCTGATATAAATCCATTATTACAAAGCTTGCAAGCAAAAACTAACGTCTAAATTAAAAAAAATTTAAGGGCTGGATAATACTAAGTTGATAGCTCAGTCAAAATTAATTTAAATAATAAAAGTAAAATTTTCTAATTGCAGTTGCTCCTCGGCAGGGAATTTCCACCCCCCGTGTGTATTTCGGACATGAAATAAAGGCTTCTCAAGAAAAACCTTCAACCGTTCGGATGAGGCTTAGTATTAATTGTAGGTCGCTCCATTTGTTGAAAAAAACGTCATGACGCAAACATCACAGTGGATGAGGAGTTCGGCGGAAAACCGCTTCAGCGGTTACCAAACGCCAATTATATATTTATATGTATATATATATATAATTCAGACAGTAAACTATTAGCACTGAATGATTGGCCGATGAGCGTACGGCCTAAACCTCTTATCATAGATACCTGGTAGGTAGGTAGGCGCATTCGATAATAAAGAATTTTCCAAAACTCCACCTCAAAGGGGTGAAAACGGATGGGATAATGTTTTGTGATAATGTTGGGTCCGATGAGCTCCAAAACTACTTAACCGATCTTGATTACATTTCTTATGCGCTAGTGACTTGATCCAACTTGAAATAATGCAATAATTTTTTCCAAGCAGTGGACGAGTGATCGATGTATTTGGAAAAAAAATGTATTTATGTGGGAGTTTTAGGAATTTTGCTTCTGATTAGCATATGAATACCTTCTCTTTCGGGAAGTGAGGTTGGGCTTAAATAAATAACTTATGAACCAATTTAAAACCGTATTAGGACCGTTTCCAAATTCCATGCCAACGGAATCACGATCAAAAGCTAGTTTACGATAAAAGCACTGCATCCAGCAAACTATTTAGTATACGGTGGAGTGAAAATCAGCCCTCATCCGAATAGTGTCGTCCGATATCATAAATAATGCCTCATTTATGTATGTAATTTAAAACCACTGTCGAGAGACTTCGTGGCTCTTTCCAATAGTGTTTCACCCATATTCCTGAATCCATCATAGTCTCGATTTTCGTAAATGCTATCATATAGAGATTATTGAATCCGACTTTTCGACGTAAATTCGAAAGACATTCCAACACGAAATGAATAAGCAATTGAAAGTTGCAGTCCTGCTTTAACGAGGAGGCATCGGAGCAGTTTATTGTTGGTCTACTAAGATTGATTGACTCCTTTCGGTTCATATTTGATTCTGCCTCGATGTCTCAATTGAGTAACACTAAACGTTAAGATTTTTTATTATGTTTGACTTGCATTTTTATTTGTACGAATATACTATATACATTAATACTTTACACTACTATATATCCGATTATAATCTTCAACCCAATCAAGCACTTCAACACCAACTACTTTAAAACCATTTAACACCCACTAATAACAACACAAAAGGAAACTTATTAACCAAGTAATAAGATGAATTATATACAAACTCACTCTTCACACTGCCCGTCAGCGGCAGCTCAGCATAGAAAAACATGGCAGAGGAGGGAAAATCGACCGGACAAAAGATTAGCGTTAAAACGCGATAAAAATAATAATCCAAGCGACACCTGAAACAAAAACTCACAACACAGCCACGCAAAACATCAGCCCATTCACACCAACGTAGGTTACACAATTTCACAGCTCTCGGGAGAACGCTTGCCTCTGGTCTCCTTTATGGAGACGAAGACTAAAATGCCAGAGCCGACATTTAAAATCCGCCTTTCAAATGACGCCATAAAAACAAAGAAGCCAAGCGCGAAAGAAACTGCAAACTAGTTAGTCCATCAAAGACATGGAAGGAAAAAATGAAGCAGAATA